TGTAGTAAGGTGATTTCATTAAGTGATTTTTCCTTTTCATTGCTTGATGCAGATCAATTTACAAGTTACAATGCAATTACATCATCAACCTTAGAAGCCTGTTGCCTCCTGCTGTACATGTGATTTAATGTGGAGATCTTGTCGAGAAGCATCTAAGGAAATATCATTTGTGTGGAAATTATTTTGTTAACAAGAAAAGACATCTGTGTACGTGTGAAAACATTGGAATGTTATATGGGCAAAACAAAGTAGTGAAGCGATTTGTCAAATAAAATCTATCTTTATGATTCTGATGAAGGGTAACCCAATAAGTCCAAAATTTTTTTTGGAGTGAGTGCCTTTTGGCAGTGTTTGGGCAGGACACAGGAAGACAATCCCCATCTCTTTTCCGAAGAATGAACTTTGTACTTTATCATGTTTTGTGCATGGGCCACATTGCACATGGAAACAACTGCGTAAATGTCTCATCTGAACGGAAGTTGCACCTGTATTTCAGCTCTCCTTCAGCTGAAAAAAGGATTGGAAACGAACCAAAGGCAAACAATCTGAAAGGATCGCCACACACATAGTGCTACTGACTGACCTGGCTGCTCACTTAAATTATTATATTTTTTACTGTACACATAAATTACGCTAGTATTTAACAATTAATAAAATGTCTCCAACACAATAAATTAATAATTGTGTTATATCACAAGTGAATGTCAAAGATCATCTTGCTGTGAAAAGATGTATCCATAAAAACAATATTTAATTACAGTACTGTACTGTACACAAAGTGTGAATCCCATGGTGATTTTTCACTTTGGTCTTTGGGCAAGGCATTTTACTCCACTAATATAAATTTGTACCTGGTGGGATGTAAATGTTGTGTGTTGTATTGTTTGGTTTTAATTTGCATAAGCCTAGGAATACTCTCCATGGACTGGTGGAGGTTAAACATTGTGCATACTGACTGCAAATATTGATGATTTCAAATAAAAATAAAATTTTATTTTTGACAAAGTAGCGCACCTGCCGCCACGAAAAAGTGGAAATTTCAGAAAAAATAAAAGTTTCTCTTTATTTTATTACGCCCTCCACTGCCTTGAAGTCTCCAATGATAAGATATGTATATTTTTTCCTGATCATATAAATTTGAAGTATTTAACCATTCTATTTTACATTCACCAATAAAATTTAATTTTTATTTTCTCCTCCATCTGGATGATTTTGGCAAAACTATTTGCTAAATAAAAAAAACAAAATCTTAATTTCATTCCATTCCTCCTCCGATAATCTTTAAAAAATAGGCACGCGAATCAAGGAATAAAAAAAGTCTTGACTAACTGTTAATATATCCACAGACCTGGCAGATCACATTGTGCATAGTGTTAATATATCCACAGACCTCGATAACAAAAGTAAAGTGTTGTGAGGTCAGAAAGCCTGATCGAAAGCCAATGTCTGCCGTTTATCATCCATTCTGCACACATATGGCCAAACAGCCGGTTAGAAAATGCACTAAAATTCAACAAAAACCATTTTTAATCGCACAACACTGTCGCATCACCTACCGTCTAGCAAGATAGTCTTATTCCAGCCTTTTTAGCTCATAAAAAAAAAAATTTCCAGTAAAAAAAAAAACAAAACAAATAAACTAAAATGCAAAACCTCAATTTCAGACATTTTGGGTCGTTCAGGCATGGCCAACACAATCATTTTTTTTATTTGGCCTTATCATAAACAGGATGGCTCTCTCCTCACAACAACCCACAACACTGCAATAAAGCTATCCACTTTCAGGCCTGCCTTTTAAAATACACTACATATTTTATGTTTCCTAAAATCTAAAACCAAACAATTAATAGCACCTGAATAACAGATGGTGTTGCAATTGAAAAATTAAATTACCTGTATTAGTTTTTATATAATTTTACACTCTACTTATAACTTTTTTACTACATCTCAGAAATGCATTTTGAGTACACAAACCCTATTCCAGTTTATCATTGATTAGCGTGACGAGATATGTTTGATTTGAGACTCTCTCAACCATAAATTTGGATGAATAATATCATTAAAAGACACGCTGGTGTAAAAAACCTACAGCGTTTGACTGGAAACCAAACACAACAATTTTTTGCAAGGATAAAAATAAATTTGTAGAGAAGCACGTGCTACAAATATAAGGCTTAAATGTGATGTAAAAAAAGTACATGTCTATGGCCATGTTTAATTTAACATTGTATGGCAAGATTAAGACATTTTTGCAGGATTGCCAATGAAATTATGTGGAGGCTTCTTGCTTTATGCACTCTTTAAATCCATACTTTTATATGTAAATCGTTAATTATAGGTGTCTAGTAGTTTTTTATCCCTTTTTTGAATCATTTTAATGTGCAATATATCTTTGTATGGTTTTTTTATTTGTGTAAATTTTTCACAATTTAGCCACTGGCTAAAATGTCAATTTTTAACAAATCCTTGAATAAAATGAATGAATACTTATTATTACATAATTGAAAGACTCAAAAACAAAATTTCATATGAACTGTGGTACACATTGACATTAATCATATTTGCTCAGTAATAAATTAGAAACAAAACCGTCCAGCAGGTCATTAAACATGAAAAATGATACTTGTTTAAATTTCACAATTGATTTTTGCTTAATGATACTGTAGACATTAATTGGAATATAAAGTATGAATATATGATAATATTTTTTTATAATATGAATATTTGCAACTTACAAGAATGCTTTAATTTCACATGTGAAAGATATAAATCTGCAAAAGCAACCTAAATCAAACCCACAACTGCCAGCTATGTTTGGGGTTTACATCAACTAATAGTGTCCAAAATTGTATTCATTTTTTATATAAAAAAATAATATAATTCATAATTTATTCAAATCAACACTTTTATAATACTGTATCTACAACATTCACAAGTGTTTATTTTCACTTTTATCTATATATAACTATCATAATTATCATCAACAATAACATTTACTAAAAATTAAGTAGAATTAAAAGAACGCATGACTAAGCAATAATTTGCAAAAACAGTAAAGCAATCGAAGAATGTGTTATAAAAGTGGACAATAACAATCATAATATTACAAGAGTGTTCTGCATAAGGAAACTCAATCGGTATATTTGACTTGAAATGACATGGTATCGCAATGAATACTCAAAAGGTCCCAAAACATTTGCACAAGAAATTTATAATCATAATCAAAATAATGAGCTATTCAAAAACATCATCTTACAACCAGAGCCTTGCAGGCGTCAACGTTCCTATGCATGATACACGACTTTTAGAAGTATATATACGTGTGTATATATGTCTCTTATACACATCTAGATGTGTATAAGAGAATACATACTTATATGTATGGTTGGGTCAAATTTGTGTGGTGGTTAAAAAATACAGGGAGAGTCTTTATGGCCCAAAATAGTGATTTCAGACTACATTGGTAATGTAATTCGACAGGCAAATTACAGTAACATTTTTAGCAAATTTCTTTGGCATAGGGCCTAGCTACGTATACAGTATTTTCATTTTACAGTACGTAGTTTGGAACGATATCGGAAGTGGGGGTGCTGGCAGTGGCCTGCTATTAGGACTACAATTTATTTGAAAATATCTTGGGTCCAATCGTCCACAACAGTTGGGCCCAATCGTCTATCACCCGAAGTTTTCATTACGATTATCAAGAACGTACACGATCTATGCCCTGGGCTAGGCTTAGCTTGCTGTCGTCACTCTGCTACGTATACTACACTACAACCGCATAACAAAGAAAGCGACCCACGTGGTGCATTCTTAAATATTACACACATTATTTAATTGTATTAGACGATAACACGATAATATCATTGATTGAACGATCTAACTAGGCCTACCCTTGCATCGCAGTAATACTGAACTAGGCCTAGCTTAGGCCTCATGTTTTTGTGGAAAGCTAGATAGTCGTTATGTACCCGACAGTCGGCTGCCTTTATATTTTCACCTGTTTTCAGTTTGCATTCAAAGGGTACATTGCTGCACAGCCTACTGTCGGGGATATAGTACCTTCATATGACTACTCATACGTATACAACAGAAAAAAACGTTGCATGGACTAAGTGAAAAATGGAGATCTAAATGAAGAAACGATGTATTTCAGCAAGTATTAAAACATTTTAGTTTTATTTTAGGCCTTCTTCAAAATACCTATGCCTACAGCAGATGATTTTTTTGCCGTAAAACCAAAATAGTTTCATCCATGCCGACATTCCGGTCGGTTAGCGTGAGCCCAGACTGAATTCTGCAGAAACTTCACATCGATTTTCGCATCGTGATGTAAAACAAAATGTCGGAAAACTTTTCTTTGACGCATGCGCATTTGCATAAATGTCTACACACACACATACACACTACACACAATAAAAAACATAGGAAATAGCAAGAGTGATTACATTACATGCATAGGAACTAAAAAAGCTCTGTAACTAATTTCAGATGTTACAAACACTGAAGAAAAAAAATTAAAAACCAACACTTGGCTACTTCAGTAAGTTCAAGTTACGATTTATTATAATTCCATTTTTTAGTCCAGCATTTGTTACATTAAAAAAAAAACCATAACTAACATACCATACAGTATGTAAGAAAATGTATTAAAAAAATATTGTGATGGATTGATGAACTGGACGAGGGCATACCAAAACACACTGCATCTACCACAAAGCGCTGTTCCGATAAGGTGAAACTATCACCTGCTGGACACCACCCACAAGGAATACCCTGGAATATACTTTATTTGACAAAAAATGCTCCACAACAATTTTATTTGACAAAAATACTCTATTACTTAATTTTGCCTTTGTTTTCCATTCCACTAAATGGTGTGTCAACAATGCTTTCCCTTCAGCAGTGAAGAGAGCGAAAGTTTGCTATGTTAGGAAGCACTTTCAGGGAAATTTAACATCTGAACAAGTTTTTGTGATTAAGAAACAACTTGTACTTACCAGGTAGAGCACACGGTATGAGTGCCCTGTTAACTTGGCTACTTGTACTAAAGAAGGATACTTCCAAACCAATATTTGATTTTGTGAGTAACCGTGTGTACTGACCTGAAACAAAATAAACAACAATAATAATAATAATAATAAAACAATCATAATTAATATGTCAGAATTAATGTAACACTTTACACAAGTCTCAGAGTGCTTCACTTTCATGTTCTAAATGTAGTAAAGAATGTCATAACAATGACATTCAATTAGCTGTCATGTAGACACAAAAGTTTTACATAAATTACATTTAAATATTTCAATTCCACATACTCCATTACATCCAATCCCAGACTAAAGGACTCAGGATGACTGCATTTACAAAGGCATTGAAATGAATGTGTAATAAAGTCAACTTGTGGGAGAGCCAGGTTAGCAATCTCTTTAAGGTGGCAAGAAATACATCACCCAGAGTACACATGAGATTTAAAACCTACTTTCAAAAGGTTATTTTCTTGTGGATTTGAAATAACAGATCTTATATCTATTGCTTTTCAGAATTCACTTATTTATTATAAGCACTTTTCTCACATTGACAGTTAATCAATAATATATCATTCAGAAGATAACCAGCTGTATATATCTTCAAAGAAAAAATACTGAGTATGAATATTATATTTGAATGAGCAAACACGTTTCATTGACAGTTCCCCTTTACGTTAGTTATATCCTACAAAAGTGGCAGACGTGATCTAATTGCACAATGCAGTAATTCGTTAGCAGGTTGATAACATGCAAAAACACAAATTTTAGCCATACTGCAAACAAATCTGTGGATATACATTGAAAAAAACCTGAAATATAAGACAATATGGAAAGTAGGATGCCTTCCTATCTAAAAACCAGAGGATCCACTAATTAGTCTTAAATAAAACAATTGAATTGAATTTGAGATTCAACGTTTCGATCTATTTGATCATTTTCAAGAATACTGTGGGAAAATCTCACCCATCCATATATGTTTACAATATTTACAAAAGTATAACCAAAAGCAAATAAAAACCGATGAATCAGATTAAAATCAAGGTTATAACTAGCCAATTAAAAACGAGGTAATTAAAAATGAGGTGTGTCTTACATTAAGTATATCACTTATTATTGTGCATAAACAATGAATAATCAACAATTTTTCAACAATAGTATAGAAGCCTGGGAATGCTGGCTGAATGAAAGTCTCATGACATGAAATAAAAAATAAGATAATTCAGTGAAATAAAATATACAGTAGAGAATGCTTTCAAGAAAAGCTTTTCCTATCTACATTTGTGTATATATTGGCTATTGGCTACAGTATATATATATACATATTTATATATGCTTGCTTCCTGATATATAGTTAGTTTATAAGCAACAAGAAACAATTACACATGAATTAATTTAGAATCAAATTTTGAATCAGCTCTACTGTACAAACAAGAGCAGTTCTAAAGTGCATATGTGTGCTATATAAATCATATTATTATTACTATTGTGTATTATGTATAGTGATACTATTCTGATACTTTTGACTCAATATCTGTTCTTTTTATTATCTGTGAAGCAGGCTTTCTTTATAGCATTCTTACATGACAATCGATGTTGCTTTATGTAAATTGTAATACAATTTTAATATTTGTGATAAGTATGTTATTATATGTACAGTATAATGTTTCTGATCAAGAAGTTTTAATGAATAATTGTTTATTAAAGTACTTTAAGGATGCAGCTTTACTATATTACATTATCATATTAGAGAATATAACGGAGCGGATTAAAATGGGCGGGGAGAAGGCCCAGCCCCCCCCCCCTCCCCTTTTTGGAAGGTCAAAAAATAAGAAAGAAATATAAAAAAATGATCGCCCAAAATGCATCAGAGTTTAAATAAATTTAAAATAAATAAAACATTATTAAAAATAACCAAAATATATGATTCTTAAAATACTTACACTATAAAAAATTGGGGATTAGTTCATAACACATAATCAAATTCAGAATATAGCATATTTATGGTACTGCTTCGCTCATAATACTGAGAAGAAATAAATATGAGCCCCATTGGTATTTTTGCCAACATCACATATGAAACAAATAATTAATTTCAGAATATAATAAACTTAATGGCATTTCTCTACATAAGTATGTTGAGGCGGGGAAATGAAGTAGGAAAGAGAAGTGGGGGAATTGAGGCGGGACACTGAATTAAAGGGCATGATTTATTGATTGGAAATCTGTTAACTCGCAAGTGGGCAAGATGCAGACAACTGCCCGCTTGTTGCTCAACAGCAATTTGGTTGCAGCCTGCAAAAATAAATAAAAATCTCCATTTTTTTAGCTTGTCTGCTATGTTTGGCTAAAAAACCCCTGTTTTGGCTTCACCAAACAATAAGGCTTGCCATCACAAAACCAGCATACTGTCACTAATTGAAAAAGTTAGTAATTAGCATAAAAATGTTGGCGGTATTGTATACTTCAATACAGAGAAGCTGTTATTTTACTTATAACTTTGGCAAGAATTGACTAATCATTTTTAAGATCATAATGTTGAGAATATGAATATACTGGTGCTGCTTCTGCCATGGCAAGCCCCATATGTAAAAGGTAATATTAAAAATGAGCCAAAAGTGTACAAAGGCAGTGCATGAAGGTTTAGCAAACACACTGGAAAAATACAATTTCACATAAAACATGCGCAAAATCAAAAATTCACTTCAGCCATTTGACCCATTTTATGTACACATCGGATACAACCGGAAATACATTTGATAAGTTAATTATGGGCAAGTGTAATCAATTTGCCAGCTGAAAGTGTTATATTGTCTCTGTAGTACACATTTGTGGACAATATTAATGGCTAGTTTCACTTAATAATTGTAATAATCAACAACAACAAAAACAATAATAAAGAAAGAATAATAATTTCAAACACCTACATACCAATTCATTATCATGCTTAGACCAGGACAGGTTGCAGACTTGTGAGCCTGTGTCTACTGTCTGTAATGGCTGGCCTGTTAGTGTATTCCAAAACCTTATGCAGCGGTCAGCAGTACCTCCGCCAGAAGCTAGTAAGCCATGCTGGTGAGGAGACCACGCAATGGCTTTAACAGCTGCTATATGATCTGTGTACTGCTGGACTGGTGTTACGCTCGAGTTGTTCCATACAAACAACTGAAAGGGGGAAAATTTTATAGAAATATTTTTAATATGTCTTGAAGAGAAACTCAGTTGCATTGGTAGCCAAATTTTTAGACAAATAGCATTTTTTTTAAAACTAATATTTCAATTTCATAATACCTATTATTTTATATAAAGTCAATTGTGCTAAAGAAGGTATAATGTATAATGAATATTAATATGTTATGTTACATGCAATTCTATATCTGATTACACTATGCCTTATTGTAACATGACAATATTACCGTAAATGTTTTAGTTAGTTTTAATGCGATGTTAAATCAAAGAGTGGTGGTAGGCAAAAAAAATATGGTTTGGTGCGCTGTTTAAACGAGACGTGTACTGTATGAATGCAAGCCCATCAAAATTTCAAATAGATCATTCTCATAGGCAAGACTTTTTTATTTCTTGTTTCACGAATTTATTTTATTAAAGATTATCAGAGGAGGGCGGAAAAAACAAAACAAAAATAAAGTTTTGTTTTCTTATTTAGCAAATAGTTTTGCCAAAAACATCCAGACGTAGGAGAAAATAAAAATAACATTTTATTGGTAAATGTAAGTATTGTTATAATGGCATGGTTAAATGATTTAAATTTATATAATTATGAAGAAATATACATATCTTATTTTTAGAGATTTCAAGAGAAAAACTTTTATTGTGTTTTCTGAAATTTCTATTTTTTTCGTGGCGATGGGTACACTAATTGGCAAAAATGAAATGTTATGTTTATTCCAAATCATCATTATTTGCAGGTGGCGGGTTTGCTAAACAAGGTATAAAAAGTCTTGCCTTAACAATTAATGATTCACTTCAAACAAATTCAATCAAAGGATGTCTAGAACTGCACCAATGTGTCTTAATATTCAAGGAAAATGATGACTTAAATAAAAACTCAGTTTAAATAAAACTGAATAAGATTTCTAGGAAATAAGGATAGAAATCTGTCACTGAATCCAAAAAATTGGAGGCAAGTATTTATTTATAAGCAAGACCTTTCAGCAAAGGTCATCAAAAATCTTTTCTGATGATTAAAAGTCTCATCATCATGATGGTTCAAATAGAGTATTGCATGACTTGCATGATATATTTCAAGTGTCCAAAAAAAAACTACTTTCTCAATTTGCACACGTAATCAAACAGAGCACTTGCTAAACAAACATGATATTCTTCAGAAGATTGAGCTTGCCTTTTTTAAGGTTTTGAATCTAAATGCAGAAAATTATAAACAGAAAGCAAATTTGTATTGCAGATATTTAGATTGAGCAGGAGATGATTGATAACAATATCTCTTTAAAAAGTGATGATGTAATTTAATCTTGTCAACATCATCATCATTTACAAATGTGTAAATCATCCATTGTGTAATATGAAGGAAAACAAAGAAACCGGTGAATCTGTCTACATGAGCACTTAGGTTTACATGTGCTATATCTAGATGTGTATAAGAGACAGCCCCCCTCCCCCACACCCCCACCAGGGCAATAAGCTGTAACGCCCTATTACAGGTTAATTCAGAAAAGTTTACCGTTTCAGATTAAATTTACCATTACACCTCCGTATGACTAGTAAACGTTCAGTTTATCAATTGTTTATACAAGTGGCAGCTTACAGCCCTGATTAATGCTGGGCTGAGAAGCATTGTTTACATACAATTTCAAAATACAAGGGAAATACACTCTGGCTTTCCATAAATTTTACATTAACAACATCCATGCTTACATGGCAGAAGATCATCGTGATGAAGGTGTTTAACTGATTGGTGTTAACTGGCCTTGTAAATGGTATTAATCGCTATACGTTATTGCTGACAGCTTTTGGTGATGCTGATTGGCCGGAAAAATTGGGGAGCCCTTCCACAACCTTCGGGGACTGCAATGCAGTACAACGATTGCACTGAATCACTGTAGTGACAGCGTAGCTATTTTAACGAAACCAGGCTTAACTCCAAATAACAGATCAGTAACCGTGATGATCTATAACGTTAACTCTACACTGCCGCTACACATTCTTGATGCAAGACAGCGAAATACAATTATTATATTTGCAGAAATATTCTGAATTATAGCAGTAGTAGTTTAAAATTTTGTTTTTGTCAATTACATAATACATCTTTTTGACAAAGGGTTTCAAAAAAAGCAGCAATGCGTGCTGTTTTTTCAGGTCAGTTCTAATCATGTGACTTCCTGGTACAACAGATGTAATTATCGGAGTCAACTTATTGTGCAGACGCTCAACTGAAGATCATTAGAGTTACTTATCTGATAGCAAACGGCCGTGTAAACATGGCTAAGGATAAACTGTAAGCCAGCAGCCAAAGAAATGACAAGACTACAGTATATCTCTATAAAAGGCAATGATGAAATCCCTTCAACGTCATCATCATTTACAAATGTTTAAACCATCCATCGTGTAATACGAAGGAAAACAAAGAAAATTGTGAAATTGGTGTAACAAAAAATATTTGAATCTGTCTACATGAGCATTATTGTTTACATATGCGTATATAATCCATCAACAATAGTACCAATATTTACATGTGTCTAAATCATTCATTATTTACTATCAGCAACATTATTTACATGTCAGTACCTTCATCCATCACTTAACATCATTATCATAGCTTCCATATTTATTCCAGACTTGTCAAGCGCAGCACTGCCTTCTTTTATTATTTTACTTGCCTCTAAGTGCCCACCTGATTTTGTGCCAAACAAAGTGTATGATTGTGACGAAATGTTAGTATCTTCTTTAGGATTCTCAGCACTAACGATTTGTTAATTTTTTTTTAACATGGATAGAAACATGTGTGACCCCTGATGTAACATTTGTGTTAACCATTCTTTTTGTAACACGCATGTTAATCATCCTTGTAACATGCATGTTAATCATCCTTGTAACACGCATGTTAATCATCCTTGTAACACGCATGTTACAGCAGTCGTCGTTGATACAAGATGTGCCTGCTTTAGTTAAAAAAACTTTAAAATATAGGCTTTATGCCTGTGTACCAATATTTACCCTATTATCGTTTCCTCCTGATGCTAAATGTTGATGATCTGGTGACCACTTAAGTCCACAGACTTCCTGACGATGCCCTGTAAGTCGTCTATCCGCCATCAGGCTTGAATTGCGTAAATCTCGTTGAAGTATAACACGATCCCTACTTCCCGATGATAACATGTCACTGTTCCAAGCTAACGCACCTTTAAAAAATAGCACAAATAATTCATCTGAAGATGTTGAATAAAATGTGACAAAATAGTACCCCAAAAATGACCACAAGAACAAATAAATCAAAATTTAATATCAAAAGAAAAAAGAGAATGTGTCATGTTATGATGTCATTATTAATGCATTAGTTTGTTTACACCTATAAAACAACATAAATGGATATGATGACTTGTGTAGTAAGATTTACATTTGAATGCTTGAAAATATATTACCTAGGAATGCTTTCTTGGGAGAAGTGCGAATAAAATTCAGGTAGTATTTAAGCCACTTTCACAAGATAGATTAATATATGGTAACATTCTGTTATAACTTCAACATGTAAGTCAAAATTTGTTCCCTAGATATATTCAGGTATTTACTTATTTAAATTGCATAATTAATGTACCTCAGGTTTTAGTATATATTAGACTTTTAAAATAAGTAATTTTAATTTTTAAAATACTTTCAAAACAAATTACAGGCGACATGTTTTTTAATTTCTTAGCCTTGAATTCAAGAATAATGTATTTAATTATTTTTAATCTACTTACCAACTCTTGCAGAATGACCTTCTAAAACATGAATTTTTTTCTGAGCTCCTGCATCCCACACTTGTACAAACCCTTTATTAGTGCCCACGGCAACTAAATTTCCCTGAAAATAAAAACATCAATCAATCAATCAATTAAATAAATCACATAGAATCAACCATTCATATGGGAAAATTTATTATTTATTAATATTACCTTGCAAAATAATTGAATTTTAAACTTTAATTCAATTTATACTGCATTGAATGGTAATTTGTAATTAAGTGGGATTCTAATGCCATACAAACAAAGCTGAAAGGATATTATTTGTTCTAGATAAAAAATAATACAAAAACTAAGAAATATTTTGTTGTAGAATATAAATGAGTTTCCTTGAAGGGTTTTATTGCCCACTAAACAGAGTGCAGCATAATTAATCTAATAACAAAATCTAAAGACTATCAACTGACCTAGTTACAGTATAATATCATATAGTATTATGTATAACAAAATGGTATTGAAATTACAATTTATGTAAAAGGTTTTGGTCAATGAAAAGCATGGAATGCATAACAGAAGGGTACAGAGAGGAAGAGGATTAATGATTGGTGCAGCAGTAAGTGTGGATTTTCAAAATACTAATGGTCGTGAGTGACATCGCTTGTTTTTGGGCAAGATAACCAAGAGTATAAATGGGTACATGGTAAGGCGTGTTAGATTTGGAATGTGGAGTTGGTCAGAGCTGAATTACAAACTAGGAACTGCTCCCCAGGAGAAGAGGAGCGTGTACTGTACATTGTGTATTTGATTGAGTCTGTATCCATATAGCACATATAGACTTTACAAAACAAAAGTCCCACAAACATAACATATACATTACTTAATGAACCTAAACCAATTGAATCAATAACGCTTTTAGTCATGATGAATATTCATGGCGACAAAATCAATTCTGTGACAGGAACTTCAATACATTGATTTTAGAGCACTTTAAAACTTTAAAAATGAAGGAAATACAAACACATGCAGTGTGTGCATAGAGTAGATGATGCAAATTGCATACACACAACCATGTGCACTACAACCACACAACACTGATCTCTACTATGATAGCTGGATTGCTCATTGGCTGGTTTTAGTAAAGCCACTGACACCATGTTGGGGAGCCCACAACTTCACAAATACATCATCACAGCGCAAGAATTTTGAGTCGGTGTGACGATCACCAACAACGTGACATTGCTTGTGCTTTTGAAAAAGCTACGCAAACAGGCATGATGAGTGGTTAGAAGATGTGAAAAAATCATTTTGTAGGATTTAAATTTGAATTTGAAAAAATAATAATTAAACAAATGCAAACTTGTCTACAGTTGTATTTTTTTTTTTATTTACAATAAAAAACCAGCATGCAGTCCATCCACCAAAATCAGAGAAAATTTGGGAACGAAAGAATTGCACCACTGGCCATTAAATAATCACAATGTACATCAACATAATGAATGAATGAATGGATGCAGTTGCAAGGAAAAGCAGCCACAAACATTTTCATGCTATATAAAAACCATGACAAATCTAGGAGCTTGGGTTTTTACACCATTAAATAGGCTTGGGCTCTTGCATATGGTGTCGGTGGCTTCAGTTTTTCCTGCACAGTGAATGGCTAATGAGCAATCCAGCTAGTATAGTAGTGATCAGTGCCACATACACAAGGCATACAACACTAAATACACAACCATGCACCCAAAAACAATGCATGCACACACACATTCATTCTGTTTTTTCAATATCAACACAAGGCTATGCACCTACTAACATACAAACAGCTAACTACAATAAATTTCAAAAATATCATGAATATTCATAAAATGAATATTCCAATCTCATAATTATAAATTTATGTCAACATTGCAAGTAGTACAAGTAACCTACCCTTTCATTCCAGGACACAGAAGTGACAGTGTCTCCATCAACTGACAGATCACACAATTTAGTTACCTGCACAAAAAAACAAAACAGATAATGAAACATCATTATGACATACTTTTGAAAGACATCAAAGTGGAAGTGACAAGCATAACGGTAACATGTCATTACTTAGTGAAGCGGAGAGAACAGGAACCGAAGAAACAGAATTAACGCAGAAAGATGAAGGAACAGAACATTAACAAAAATAAGACGCAATCCAAAACGTTAGTTTTAAAAATCCTAGCAAAACTCAATCCCAAGAAGTTATTAATTTTCAATCAAAAATCATTCTAGATTTATCAGATAATCTGAGAACTTGAAATGGTAAAGACGTGGGAGCTGTAGGTGCAACTGTTGCAATTATGGCAATTATCATTAAGGTTGGGGGTACAAGCCCTTGCTGTCAACTTTGCTTCCATTTTTGAGTAAGATATTTTTCCTCCATCTCTCTCTTTCACCACCCAGAAGTATAATGAGCTCCCTGTAGGCTTAAATGCAAATTCACTGATTACTAGATGCATTACGGAATACTCCCCATGGGCTTCTATGTGTTCCATATGTGTTTGATCCAATGATGGATCCAATGATGGTGTTTGATCCAATAATTTTGTGAAGAACACGGTGGCCGAGGTGGGTATGATGAGCTACATAAAATTTATTATTATTATTATTAGTGTAATGTACTTCCTTGGTTACCATGGAAGTTGTGACTGACCTTGGCTTTAGTTTGCACTAATCCTAGCACGAAACATAGCTAAGTATAATTATCACCACTACAAACTGAAATATCAGTATTGGTTTCCACTTGATAGACATTACATACTTATTTTACACACATTCAGCAAATCCAATCATGCAGAACTCCTTTTATGAGGCATAAGAGTGGAAAGTTGATCAGGTAGAACCCTCCATGTTTTATAATCTAAGCAAATCTCCTTAAGAAGCTTGTGCAGTTGTTTTTGGTTGGTAGAAAATTATTAGTAGTAGGGTTCAGTAGGACTGAACCATACTACCACTTACCTGACTTGTACATGCACTCCACAAGTAGACACATGTGCCAAGACCTACACTTAAAATATTGGTGGATGACCAGTCAACTAAATTCAAGTAAAAGTCGTCTTGTAGTTCCGGAGCATCCAGCACCTTAAAAGGTATTTTTGAGATTTTCCTTATCGGCTTCCTTGGAGATCTCAATAACTTTTGACTGTAAGAAAATATTAAAATCTCTCAGAACTTGGAAATCAATAATCATAACAACAAATTTCTATCTTTTTAATTACTCTACAAGTGTAATTAATTCGTATTATGGAATTTACGCCCACAAACCTTGTAGTTATTAATATTTTTGTTATAATAGAACATTTTTATTTTTTGGTGACGTCACACTCAAAATATAGTTAACATGCATACGTCATAAGATTACGTCACCTTTTTCTGGTAAGGCAAACTTTCCCGGCATGCTTTTTTTATGGATGAACACCGCTGCTTTGCACATGGATGCCTTGCCTAGCTAGGCTACAAGAGCCGCATTGTTAGCATTGTATAATACCTAAACAAGGTACGTCTGCAACTGAATTTTTTTTCTTATTTTAATTTATTTCTTTTGAAAGTGTACTTTCTGTCACATATAATTGCATTGTCTACTTAGGCCTATTCTTACTAATAAATAGCCTCACCGCCCCCTGCTACAGAGTTCATCAGTAGGCAAGGCAACAGAACGTGACATGCCATCCTTCCCAGGTTTTCATGTAACATTTGCATATTGTTGGCTAACCAATTTATGCTGTACTTAAGATGTACAATAATCATTTTACTACCCGACAAATCCCGAACTTTATTCATGCATTACATAAATAGTTTCACGTTGCCGTACTCCAACATCACTGGTGCATGGTAACAACCAACTGACTGCAGAGCATTTCCGGTCACACATTACTTTCAATAACCCCCTTCCACCCCTAGCTCCGTCACCTCTGGGTATAGAACCATACTATTTAATGAAATTGCCTACATAATGGATTTAATTATAATTTAGGTGACTGGCAGCAGACTATCCAAATTATAATCAAACAAATGTATTCATAGTGTGATTTAGAAGCCTACTGTACTTATTAATTAATTAATTTATTACAGTATAATCCAAACCTACACCATCTATACACCGATTTAGCTAAATTTGAAATAAAAAATTCCAAGAACCTGGCAACTATCACCAGAGCACATCCAGAGGCCTAGGCACTGTTGCAAAATAGACCCGATAAAATGGTATATATGCAGATACATCAATTTTTTTTTTAGCACATTCAGATTTAATAATTCGTCCAATATGGAAATAGCAATAAGTACATTTTCACATTTAGCACACAATGTAAATGAAATTTCAAACTGATTTTTAATATTTTCATTTACAGCTTAAATCCTCCAAATATCAGTTGTACTATGTTGTTATGTGAATGGCATCAAATTAAAGTAGTTATCATATCATATTTATTCAGGATATTAAAAAAATACTAAAATAAGATAGTACAGTACATTTACATTTCAAGTTAATTGCATTTTCTTTTCAAAATTGAATTAACAAATAAAAATACATGCAATTGCATCATAAAATACAGTACCTATCAAACTCTCAGGTTAAAAGTAAAATGAAAATTATTTAAAAAAAGGGAACCTCAAATAGAATTGTAAGTAATGACATCAACACATAGATACATATCAAATTCCACCAAGACTTACTCCCCCTCTCAACACATACATTAACCTGATGGTCCAACCATTATTGCTCAATAACCTAAATTCACAATCTTGATGAAATAAAAAAGTACTGGGTAGTTTACTTTTTCAGTAGTTGATTTTTGTTTAATCCATACTGTACTATTTTCATTTTTCACTTCAACATTATATTAAATTTGAATGTTTTATGGAAATATTATTATAATTATCATCATACAGGCCTAGCACGCAATATCTACTGTACCCAAGCGGAAACAGCAAAACAAATCGTTGTTTCAAAGTGAATATAATTCTTTGATTATAACGGAATGCCTTTAAAAACCAATCTCCTGTATATTACTGTACAACCAATCACAGAATTGAAATCCCTGGATGATTAAAATTGGAACAGGTATTAAGTAGAATATGGGCTAATAAACATTATTTTGGAACAAACACTTGTACTGTATCCAGCAAAATCACTATGGACATTTAAACAAAATTCTAAGCTTCAATAATCATAATGAATAAAATGCAATTACATTACAATCATAAATTAATCAACAGTTGGTTCTAATTATTAGATAGGATATTAATCAAGCATTACACTATTAAAAATATCTTTAGATTCCCTTGTGTCTCTGATCAAAGATGATTTCCGATACATTAAACAGCTCATATATTCAACCTGGAAGAATTTACATGCAATGCAAATTGCTGGAGCTGCTGGGTTTCAAATAGTGATTCCTGATTTCATAAATAAAAGACTTTTAAAATCATTAACTTAAACAAAGATTTTGAATTTTTAACATGAAGAGGTATCTTCACAAAGGTCATATCTTTATTAATCATTATTTCATCCTCTATTAAAATGTAAACATCCTGTAATATCTATCTTATGATTGTCTTTGATTTGTTCAATAATATTTATTTTGATTTTAATTTTGACATTTTTAACCAATTTTTATGAAATTTTTAGATGTCTTTCTGTTTGGATTTTAATGTTCTCGTATTCCGTTTTTGCCAACTAAAGATTCTTTTTTTTTTTCGTTTTTTACGAAAGACAAATACAACCAGACGATCATACAACCTCATGTTTACCGACATGTGTATAATACTGTAGATATTGTATCATTCATGTGAGGACCCATTAATAACATTTACTGCTAACAAGTGCTTCACCATTACTGACAAAGCTCCACACATTATTACTGCTATGATGAGTGCCATTGATTTTCTTCTACACGGTTTTCAATACATATGACTTGTTTTGAGAAGCGACCTACTAAATAATAAATGAAACCAGTGAGGCACTAAGTAGACCAAGTAATTAATGGAATTAGAGGACAACAATTAAGAAATACAAATTACTGATGCTAAGTGCACCTTATATTAATGAATATTAATGATGAATATTAAGAGGCAGTAACACAGAATCAACACATAATTATTTTTTAGCCTGCATTCATCCTGTATTGTTTCGTTTTATTGGCTGTGCCAAGCATATCAATGTAATCATGCCGCCGCCATTTGGGCAGCAGTATAAACCATTACTTACTCTGCTTACAAAAGTTAACATGACAGACTTGTTAAATGATACACAACAGGCAACCTCATTTGGAGACTATCTTAGCCTAGATAGATTGATTGAATTTGTTCAATGTAAACACCAAGGATAGCTAAATCTAGAAGACTTATTTCCAGTGGGGTCCTTCTGGTGGTGATTGGGCAGTACACCGGTTTTGATAAAAATTCATGTTTAAAAAAAAAATATATCACTCAAAGCTTGGTTATAAATGGAATAGGTTGTAATTTGGAGTGTTGTAAATTGGAGATCTGACTGTTAAGAACATGGTGATAAAGGAAGACAAATGTCAAATACACTATTGGTAATCTACAATCTAGATTGATGATAGAGGGCTCACTTGTAAACATATGTGTGTTCTGAGAATAAGGTATGAAGCCTGATGAAGTATAATAATGACAATGATGATAATAAATTGATAACTACAATGATGATGATGATGATTATAATGGTTATTTTGGTAGTGATAATGAGGACGTTGATGGTGATGATAATCAATAAATACATAGTAATAGTTTCTCAGAATTGGGCTTCTAGGAAGGAGGAAAAATGTGTATTATAAGTAATAATTGTAGTAGTTTTATTGTTATCTTAACAAACTCAATTGATCCATATGTAAATGTTTGTCTTACCTTTTGCTTCCAACAGGTGAAATAGAGTATGGAGATGAGTCAGCATTCTGTGTACTGGTAGGCTTGTAAGCATGTACTTGATAATGGAACAAATTCTTGGGAACCTTTTGTGGTGTCACCATGCGTCTGTCTTCTGACTGAGGGTCTTTTATAGTGTCAATACCAGACCCCAATAATTCATTTTTTAATAGACAATGGTATGCTAATGTGTCTAGAAAATAATAGAAAAATCAAAACAATTTGAATCATTAATAAACAAATAAAAAGTACTTGATATTTAGGAGATGACTGGCAATAATTGAGTACAGTATCTAACAAGAAAGACTGATAGGGAATCATCCCTTTTCATGTAAATAATTAAACGAAATGGTAAATTAATGAAAGAAATAACTATAAATATATCTTCTAGTAAAAAAACAATGTATGGATATGTTTACTTACTTTTTTGTATATTCATTTGTATGATAATTACACAAACAGCTTAAGGTATTTGATAGTATAGTACATACTCCAAGTAATGCACGCTATTGTGTCGGGATTCAATATTTTGACATTAATTATGTCATCATCCTTATCTGAGATTAATCAGTGGACCTTTCGGCTTAAGGTAGTTATAGTTGTAATACTGTTACTCTTTGGGATATTTTTTATATACATTTCTGATTTATTATGTTTCAAAGTTCAATGACTGTTAATTGCTCACCAGATTTAATTTTATTTTCAATTTTTGTTAATGATTTGCAAATGAAATAATTAATAGAATTATTGGTACTAACATGAATTACCATTTGTGGCAGGGACAGACGGAATCAGTCGTTTGTTGAAAATATCAATTTTGAGACAATGTCAAAATATTGAAAAGCAAAGTCTGAGCTTCATAATAGTGAAAAGTATTACAATCCAACTTTTTGTTACTAAGTTATGTAAAAAAAAATCTTCAGACTTTTCATTGGCAGATCTTGGGGGGGGGGGGGGGGGAGGTGTCAGGGGGTCCTGACCCCCCCAACTTGGGAAAAAAAAATTATCTGTGTACCGGTACACACATAGGCCTATTTACTGTAATAAGAATGATAAAAAATTATGTGACCGTTTACAAAAGGGGAGAACCTTGAATTTCGATTAAAAGACACTTCAGAAGTCCGGAAAACTCATTTCTCGCCATCTAAGAACCAAAAGTTTCCTGGGGAGGACCCCTGACCACCGTCTTATTTGGGGTTCATCGATTTATTGAAAAAAGAATATGTATGCAGCGACTCAATTTTTGTTAAGTACTGTACATACACACATAGTAGGGCTACTAGTATTTACAGTAATAAGAATGAGAAGTTTACCAGACCGTTTTCAAGCTTTGGAAAACCTTAAAATTTAAAGCTCATTTCCTGCCATCTAGTGATCAAATTTTTCCATGGGAGGGCCCACGGACCGCCTTCATCTTTGGGATTATCCAATCATGGAAGAAAGAATACGTAAACAACTCAATTTTTTAAAATGTACGTATGCACACATAAATAGGCCTATTTGCTGTAATAAGAATGAGAAAGTTTACCTGACCGTTTTCAAGAGGGGGAAAACCTTGAATTTTGAAGAACTTGAAAGTCATTTTTAAACTCAGAAGTCTGGAAAGCTCATTTCCCGCCATCTAAGAATCAAAATTTTCCGGACCCCCCTTTTTTTGGCGCTTTTATGAAAAAAAGTCTGACTCCCCCCCCCGCAAAATGTGAACCTAGATCTGCCCCAGCTATTCGTTCCCTACTAGGCCTATTTTGTCACATCTTCCCCAGCTTTCAACACCATACTTTCTAGGTTTGTTTGCTGGCTTGTGAGCATGCGCAGTTTAGATTTTTAAAGCATCCTATCACATTGACCAATCACAGAGCAGAATACAGCGCCGTCGTTAAGGGCCTTTCAGGTTTGATTACAACTTAAGAACGCATTGTAATCGGCTATAATAAGGAGCTAGTGCCTCAATTGTCCAATAAAATAGGAGTTTATAAAATAAGCTTCAAAATGATAGTAAACATGTGCCACTTCCTCTAACATATGAAGCATGTTGTGGCGAAATGGTAAAGTTGTCGCACAGTCTAGTATTGAGTAAATGAGCTATAAAATATGGAAGCTCAAAAAATTGATAAAAAATCCAAATTTGTTTTTCACTGTAGGTCAACAGTTTAATGTCTTATTAATCATGTCCCAAAGTATTAATTGTGGAAGTGGTTAACAAATTGTTTATTTAACGTTATTTTTCATTGTTCATTCTATTAAACAATGTATGCACAAATAACTTTGAAAGGCAATTACTCAAAATCTTGTTTATCTTGACTCTAAGAGTACTGTACTTTCATTTTCCAATAACTTAGGTTTAAAATGTCCAATTTGAATGAATGACCTCTCATTTTAAAGATCACATACTCGGGTATTTGAAAATACCAATAACTTGAATTTCAATTTTTGCTACAACTTAGCCATTTTGCCACAACATGCCTCATATGGCAACCTACATGGCGCTGAAAAAACTGAGTCTAAGTGCGAAAAACGGACCGAGTTTTGTTGATTCGTAATAAAGATGGCCTCGCAAAATGTCATTTTTTGGCTGATTTCAGGTTAAATGTGGAAAAATAACAAAATAGACTGATTCTTTAGTCCATAAAGGTTGGTTTTATTCAATAAAATGAATAATGATTTTTTTTTTACTTTCATGGTGTTGTTGTATTGATAGGCCTGTATCTCCATTTGGGGTTTAGCGACATACGACTGATTCCGTCTGTCCCTGCCACATTTAGTAAAACACATACCTTTACCAGATTCTACATTGTTATCTCTGGGTCTCTTCATTGTATTTGAATGCTTGTTTTTCTCTTCAATTGTGTTAAATCCTACATGCCAATTGGTGGCAGCTCTACTTGGAATAAATCTGAAAATATACACACATAAAATCATCTTATAAAAAGTAAATAAACGAATAAAAAAAAAATTACAGCAAACACATAGTAAATTGAATTACACTGATGTACAGTATATGACATTTAATGGCTTAGTACTTAAATGGTCATTTAAATTGGTAACAGAATTGGTTTATGAAACCTCATTAACAGTTTGATATCTGTGATCCACATTAACTCACCTATCACCATATCTGTCTTTTGTAGGCGATGCTGCTTTACCAGGTGATAACGGCTAAAAGAATAAAAAATACATGAATAGTAACTTCTTAATGAATGGCCAGATACATTTTTTTTCAAACACTAAAATAATATTGAGCTTAACAAATTTTCCATTGCTATACATGATCTGTGTACATAGAGGCCCTTTTAATCAACTCAACACCAATCATGACAACCCTCCTCAGAGCATTATGAGCATTGCTGACTATGTCAATGCACTTTCTTTACTTTTATATCATTAATTTCATCATTTTCATACAGTATAATGTGGACCACACTTACCACTTTAGTTGGAAGTCCAACTGTGCTCAAACCATTCTGTTGTCGCAGCAATCTATTCTCATAGTCATGATCCATTTTCTGTTTAAGGAAAACATTGCAAATTAAGTTGATGCTAAATAACATTTGTTAGAACAGTAGAAACAAAAAAAGTACACATTTTAAGACTAGTGCATGGAGTTGAATAGCTTGGTGGTTAAGACGCTTCCCTTCCGATCCCAGGGTCCTGGGTTCAATTCCTGTCATGGTAACAGGATTTTTCTCACGAACAAAACAACTCCACTCCCTAAGCCTTCAAATGAGACTTATTTTATATAGAGCATTTTGTGTTTATGTTTGGCATATCCTTGGCCAAACTGTGCTTGGCATATCCTTGGCCTTTGGCCTAAACCAGTTAATTATTAATAATAATTATTATTATTAGGCCTAAGTACCCCCTTATATTTACAAACTTGTTGGAGCTGGACATTTGAGCAGTCTGATATGGAGGTAGGGCCTCAATGTTATACAGTGTTCTCCCAAGCACCATAGTTGGGACTGACACAAAAAAAGTAAAGCTATGGGTAATGAATAAACATGTTTTATGCATAAATATACAGAAACTGGGCTTTAAATACTGTAAATGTAAATTTTAATAAGAAAGTAAAAATTTACACTTGACAATATTCTGGTTACTACTGATATAAACTATAATAATGATATAATACCTATGCCATGGCTAGGGATATGGTATCATATCTTATCTTCTGTTTGCTAAAGGTACGGAACAATGCATCATCAAATATAATGCGGCCACCTGTGTGACGTCATTGTTCATGAGTTTGTGAAATCGCTCTCTGAATGCAGTGGAAGTTGATGGTT